AGGCGTATGTCTCCAATACTGGCTGTATCCCTGAACACACAGAAATCTACCTAGCTCTTCTAACCACCACGCTCTTACTATGGCTCTAATAGCTCTGACCCCAGGGCAACTTTATTTATTAACATAAAATTAAAATAACATTTCAGTACAAATAAAATATCACCACAGATCATCCTACCACAGATCTCCATCTCTGTCACTGGTTCTTTTTGAGTCAGTCTCACTAAGTTGCACTGTCTGGCCTGGAACCTTCAATCTTCTGCTTGCATCCTGCTGAGTAACGGAGATTAAGATCTGTACCATCAGCCTGGCTTGGTTTTGTTTTTGTGTTTCTTTTTTCTTGTGCCAAGAACCTGATTTTTGATTTTTGAAAAGTATATATATATATATATATATATATATATATATATATATATATATATATATTCGAGACAGGGTTTCTCTGTGTAGCTTTGTACCTTTCATGGATCTTGCTCTGTAGCCCAAACTGGCCTCGAACTCACAAAGATCCACCTGGCTCTGCCTCCCAAGTGCTGGGATTAAAGGCATGTGCCCGGCGAAAAGTATATTTTTTAGACTGGGCATGGTGGTAATGCATGCTTTCAATCTCTGCACTCAGCATTCAGTGGGCAGAGGCAGACAGATCTCTGAATTCAAGGCCAATCTGGTTTATGTGTGGAGTTTCAGGCCAGGTAGGGTTACATAGTGAGATCCCTTCTCCATATCCCCTTCCAAACATTATAGCTTTTTTGTTTTAAGGCCCTACTGAGTCCAGCTAGAGGCACCCATATATACCTGGGTGTGGAGCCATTCATTGGAGGATGGTCAGTTTACCAGGGGCCACAGCTATAAAAACAAAGCAAACCAAACCAAACTAATGAAAGAACAGAACTGGCTTTCCCTTCCCCAGCAGCCATCAGCTGCCAATAGCTCCTCTGCTGGGGGTGGGGCTTGTGTGCCTCTCTACTCTCCTGGCTGGAATGTTGATTGGCTTGATCTTGCTCAGGTCCTGTGCAGGCGACCACAGCTGCTGTGAGTCCATGAGTGCTGTGGGCCTGTCATGTCCACAACATATTGTTTAGCCCCAGTCCTCTCCAACCTCTGCCTCTTACAATCTTTCTACCTCCTCTTCCAGTAAAGAAAAACCTGGCTTAAAAAAAACCAAAACATCTTTACTTATTTACATTGTATGTGTGTGTGCATGCCCAGGTGTGCCATAGCATGTGGAAGACAGGAGACAGCTCATAGGATTCAGCTTTTTCCTTTCTCTAAATGGATCCTAGGGGTTGAATTCAGGTGATAAGCTTGGTGGCAAACAGCTTTATCCAGTGTGCCACATTGCTGGCCCCAAGCCTGTTTTTTTTTTTTTTTTTTTTTTTTTCTTTTGGAGCTGAGGACTGAATCCACAGCCTTGCACTTGCTAGGCAAGTGCTCAGCCACTGAGTTAAATCTCCACCCCTAAACCTTGTTTTTAATGGTACCATTAGATTCATTTTCTCCACCTTATGATATCTATAAAGATGATTTTATTAATGATATGCTTGTGGGAGACATTTTAAGATTAAAAACATTTTTTGTTTTTGCCTTTTGGGTATATTCTGATGGGAATATAGAATCAAATTCTGCTTAAAATTTGAAATAATTCTTCTCTAAACACTTTCACTATCAATTTTGTTAATAGTTTGGTACATTTGCTTCATTTTGCTTTCAAGTTCTAGGGATTACTTATAATTCAATTTTATTTAAATAATTGCATGAAACATTTGTATTATTCCATAGCCTAGTCTTAAAGTACACTCAGGTTAGTTCAGCTTCTATACCTGCTTTCTCCATGCTAATCTCTCTGTCCCCTGTGGGCAATTTTATTTATTTTCAAAGATGTGTTTTTACTTGTATGTATGTGTGCGGGTGCCCAAGGAATCTAGAAGAGAGTGTTGGATCCCCTGGAACTGGAGTTATTAATAGTTGTGAGCTGCCGTGTGGGTGCTGGGAACCAAACCAGAGTCATCTGCAAGAGCAGCAATCTTTCCCACTGAGCCATCTCTCTGGCCCCAAATGAGTAAATCTTAGAGGGGATGGGGAGGGGAGAACAGACTTTCTGTTTGAGCTTTTCCAACCACTATACTTTTCTATGTCTCAGTTTCTCAAATGGGAAGGAGTAACAAAGCTTGTATCCTTGTGGGTTTTTGGGCAGACCAACTGGGCTAGCGCTGTTAAAATGCTACACCTGGAACATAAGGGATGTTTGATAAATGCCAGCTGTCTTTATCACATCTGTCATGAGCGGGAGGCATGCAGATGTGTGGGCAGGCATGGGACTCTGAGCAGGGTTTCTGCCTTGCTACCCTGTTCCTGTCAGGGTGGCAGGAATCCTATAACCAGAGACTAAATAGACCATGATTATATGTTTGGAGATGAGGGCACAGGTCAGAGTTAGATGCCAGCACAGACAGTGGCCTCTAAGTTTCCATATATCCCTGTAGGTGGATTTCTCTGTCCCACCATCCAGCTCCCAAATAAACACACAGAGACTTCTTATTAATTATGAAAGCTCACCCGATAGCTTAGGTTGGTTTTAAGCTAGCTCTTATAACTTAAACCCATTTCTAGTCATCTATGTGCTGCCCCAAGGCTCGTTTACCCCATCTACATACTGTCTATCCTGCCTTCCTGCTTCTCCTGGCATCTCCTCTAGACTCTGCCGTTCTTCTTCCCAGTGTCCTCTCTGCCCTGAAAAATCCTGCCTAGCTATTGGCCATTCAGCTTTTTATTAAACCAATCAGAATGACACATATTCACAGTTTACAAGAAGATTATTCCACAACATATCCCTCTTCCCAGCAGTTGACTGTTGGCCACATACCTGAAACTCTCCTGAGACTCAGATGAACCCTGGAAGAAGAAAGGGGAAGCTCTCACACAACTGCATTTAACCTGCATTTATTTAGAGTAAATATTTACCACAGGACAATAGAAACTGAATCCAATCACAGGAAAAAAGAAATCATTTGCTGTGGGATGGTCTGTATGTCAAATGCTCTTATTGGTCAATAAATAAAACACTGATTGGC